AGTTCAAAACCAGCCTGGCCAACATGGTGAAACCTCATCTCTATTAAAAATATAAAAACGAGTTGGGCATGATGACTCATGCCTATATTCCCAGTTACTCAGGAGAGTGAGACAGGAGGATCACATGAACCTGGGAGACAAAGGTTGCGGTGAGCCAACATAGTGCCACTGCACTTCACTCTGGGCATGGGTGACAGAGTAAAACTCTGTCTCCAAAAAAGAAAGAAAGAAAGAAGCCAGCTGGCACACCCTCGAGTTTTGGGTTATTCTTGAAAGTACCTTGGATAAACACTAAAGGCTATTTGGGTTTTTAGATTAATATTCAATTTACTGAAATAAATTTAGAAATCTAGTAATCCGTAAGTTCTTAGCTTTAATTAAAATCCTAATATTCTATTTATAAAGCTAAAGAGATTTTTACAACTTGGTTGAGCAAATTCTCCTAAATAGTTTAGGATACATGTATATTAACATAATCGAATTTCCTTTTGTGTGTATGTGTGTATATAAACATCTAAACATTGTCAATTTTCTTCTTAAACACTGCATGTGTCTCTAACAAGCAAAGACTTCCCATGAACACAGATGAATTTTATAAATCTAATAAAATAAACAGATAATTTTGAATGTTAAGTTTTCTTAAACAGTATTTGTTAATAAAATTGTTTTTTTTTTAATTGCATTTTGGGTTTTGGGGTACATGTGAAGAACATGCAAGATTGTTGCATAGGTACACACATGGCAGTGTGGTCTGCTGCCTTCCTTCCCCTCACCTGTATCTGTCTTTTCTCCCCATGCTATCTCTTCCCACCTCCCCACCCCCGTCCCTCCTGCATTTCCCCCCAACAGATCAATTGTTTTTAAAGTAGAATGCCTTTCAACTTTATAATCATAAGATTAAGTCTCTTATGGAAGTACATCATTAAAATTGGAATTATAACTAATCTGTCACACATGCCAAGTTCTTATACACAAGTTAAATATCTCAATATGTACAAATCAGTCCTAACACTAATGCCAAAAATGTTAATGCCATTGGTTTTTATTTTATTTTCTCCATAAATAATTATAAGCATTTCTAGGTTTTTAACTAAGGCAGTAGTTTTTAGCAGACAGTATTTTTCAACTATTAATACAAAGGCTCAGTTTCCTTGATGAGTTATAGTGTGGTCAGGACTTTGAAAAATGGTCTAAGACTGGAATTGGATTACGCTAAGGAAGGACAAACTTTCCAGGTAACCACGTCAAAGGCACGCTCACTCCACACCTGGACTCCATTGCACAGGTAGTTGAAAAGACACAGAATCTAAGTCAAGCCACCTGTGCTAGAATCCTTTTGCCAACCCCAGCGAGCTGTGTGACCTCTGCTAACCCTCAGTTTCTTGGTGATTAAACGGGCATGATGGTTTTTCCAATTCAAGGTTGTGGTGAGGACTAAATTAAATAGCACAGGAGATGAAGGACTTTGGAGCTGTGGCAGGCAAGCGTCACCCACAAGGTAATCAATAAATATTGATTGACTGAAAAGTTTAGGCGAACTCTTATCATTATTACTTTTTTATTTTTTGAGATGGAGTCTTGCCCTATCGCCCAAGCTGGAGTGTAGCAGCATGATCTCACCTCACCACAACCTCCGCCTCCTGGGTTCAAGAAATTCTCATGCCTCAGCCTCCTAAGTAGCTGAGATCACAGGCATGTGCCACCATGCCCAGCTAATTTTTTTGTATTTTAGTAGGACAGGGTTTCACCATGTTGCCCAGGCTGGTCTATGAATTCCTGAGTTCAGGCAATCTATCCACCTCAGCCTCTCAAGGAAACTGAGCAAATGGGACCCTTGTTAGTTCTTGAAGAAATATTTTAATCAATTTATCTGGCACTATTCAGAGATCATATGCTATTTGTTAAGTATTTCATTATCATTAGGGAGCAACTAATTGACAATTAATTTACAGGATTACACACTTAACTAATCTGGTAATTTTTAATTTTGGTTAAATTGAAATGTGCAGATAGTGCATAAATCATCATTAGAAGTTGTCCTAACCAACAAAGCCTTCGAATTTGCTGCTAATGGTCGAAATGAAGTGGAGACCCACCTGCCTCTCAATTTGGAAGTGTCCAATTCACTTCCATGGCTCCTGCCCTGCTGAAGACACAAAGCCAGTTATCATCTCAGGAGGCAGGGAGTGTGGAGGGGGTAGTGGAGGAGGGCAGAGACCTCCCCAGTCACTTCTTTTGCCTTTTTTTTTTTTTTTTCCAAAATAAAAGACCATTTCTTAGAGAAGAAAAAAAAAAAAAAATACAAAGGCAGTAGGCCAAGGCAGTAGTTTTTAACAGGATGGTACTGCCCCCTAGGGAGCATTTGGGAAATGTGACTGGTGTGCTTTTAGTAGTCAGCAACTGGTGGGGGGTGCTGGTATTTAGTTCTTGGGACAGGGGCCTGACATCCTGAAATAAGTAAGACAATCCTGCATAACTAAAAGTTACCCTGTATAAGTGTCAAAGTTCTTTTCATACAAGCAAAATGCTCATAATTATTTCAGCCTAGAACTTAACCATGTTTTAGTTATTGTTGGCATAGTTTTAATATAGATTGAATTTGTAGGAATTTTGTTATCTTGCAAATAAGGGAGAAATCATACTTAATTTGTTCCAAACTTTACCAAGAGTTATTCACCATTTCAGAAAATCGTATCACTGGTAGCAGTGCTGGATTTGCAGTTGTCCCATTCACTGGTGATCAGATGTAGATATACGTATATAAATATATGGATATGTTTCTTAAGTCCTTGTTTTAAAACACCAAATATAAAAAATAAGCATTGGCTGGGTGCACAATGGCTCATACCTGTAATCCCAGTACTTTGGGAGGCTGAGGCGGGTGGATCACGAGGTCAGGAGTTCGAAACCAGCCTGGCCGACATGGTGAAATTCTGTCTCTACTAAAAACACAGAAGTTAGCTGGGCATGGTGGCGCGTGCCTGTATACTCGGGAGGCTGAGGCAGAAGAAACGCTCAAACCCAGGAGTCAGAAGTTTCAGTGAGCCAAGATGGCTCTGCTGCACTCCAGCCTGACAGAGCAAGACTCCGTCTCAAGAAAAAAAAGAAAGGCATTAAGAATTTACCATTGAATATTGTATCATCCTAAATCCAAACTTATATGGGTGCGAACAACTCATTCCTTCATTATACCTTCTGGTGTAATAGTGCTTGACCATGTGCATATTGAAATATACACTATTTTATTACAAATAATTTTATTTCTCTTCTGTTTGGGCAATACCTTGTGTGCAACTATAACAGATGATGTTATCTATGAATTTCATTTCAGGATAGTAGAAAACTTTACAAAGTATTTTTAATCTTCACAAAAAATGTGTAGCTCTGGGTTAACAATTCTGATACTGCTGTGCACAGTCAGATTTTAAATCAAATAATGAATTTATAAGATTGAAACAGTGTGCTCTTGTTGCCAAAAGAGGGAGCTTTTGGAATAGAACAGAAAATATCCAAACAGATATACTGGACAGTGAGTTTTGAATATAAGGAGGGGATATCAAAGCAATGACTTGATTTAATAACAGTAATGGAACAACTGGCCAAGACACTTATGAATACGTAAAACACTGTATGTACAAATCTAAATTCCAGATGGATTAAAGTAAATCTTAAATAGCAAACTCCCAGAAGAACCTAAAGAAAATACAAGTGACAGTGTACTGAATAGCTAGCAGAAATGGCCTTTTCTAAAGACAAAAATAATAAAGTAAAATATTGGTAAGTTCTCATAAATATTAAACACTTTTCTATGAAAAAAAGATACCAAAAAGGCAGCAATGAACTAGAAATAAAAATTTGCAACATCTGTAAGAATGGATGAAGATAATTAATATATCATGAATTCCTATATATCAATAAGGAAAAAAATACTTCAGTAAAACAAAGGTCCAAGAATATGAGAAGATAACTCACAAAATAAGGAGTACATGAGGCTAATAAGCTTAAAAATAGTTTAGTCTCACTCGTGGTAAAGGGAAGTGTATATTAAAAGAAGTCACATATTAAATCAACAAAGGGTTTTTGCTGTTGTTTCTTAAGGACAAAGCTAATTGTTAGTGAGGAGCAGAAAAAAATAGATCATCCTACAAACTTCTGGGAAAATGTAAACTGATGGCAATGTTTTTGGACGTCAACATAACAACATAGATATTAGGTGCTATTAGGAAAAAAAATGCATACTTTCTGACCCAGCAGTTCCACCTCCAGCAATATACAGAAAATACTTGTGCCTCACAATGTTAGCACTTCATGCTAAGATAACTTATCAGGGCAAAAATTAGACCTTAAACCCTTAAAAGGGGGCCTGATACGTTGAATCCAGGGGGATGGAATGTTTAATGACAGTTCAGTATCATGTTAAAGTTCTGGAAAAGGCAAGTGTGCGGGGATGGGATAGTTGCCAGGAGCGGAGACGGGGTGACTCCAAAAGAGCCTGAGAGAATTTGGTGGAGGGGCCGGGCATGTAAAAAAATGGTTTGTATCAGAGCTGTCAAAGTCACCCTGACCCACAGAAGTGTACACCAAAAGGGTGAATTTTAACTTGTGTAAATGACATACGCCTTAATAAACTTGGCTTTTAAAAAATCTTGTTGAAGAATATTAAACAACCTAGGTAAATCTAAATGGTTGAGTAGCTAAAGTGAGTAACCAGCAAAGCGGAGTGTGACGGGAACTTGCAGGTGGTGGAGGGGTGTTTACATATTCAGGCTGGAAGAAAAGGTCAGAATGTATTATGTTAGCGTCTCTCTGGAGGTGAAATTAAACACCGTTTTTCTCCTTGTATCTTGTTCGTTATTGTTGTGTTGTTTTTGGTTTTTGGTTTTGAGGTTTGTTTTTTTGTTTTGTTTTTGCAGCGTGGTTATTGGCGGGTTGGAGTCGGGGCGGGTGTTACAGCAATTTGGGAGCACGGCCCACTGGCTATGGCTTCTAGGTTCTTTCCAGCGCTTTTCTCTTGATGGATCCGTCGAGCGGGGCGGGAGAGCGCGGTGTGGGGAGGGCGGGGCCTGCGTCTTGCTGGGCAAAGGGTGCGGGCGTATCCCTGTTGGATGGAGGGGGAAGGAACACCCCAAGAAGGCTGACATTTCCTGGGTCGAGTTGGAACCCAGACGGCCTCACCTTGCTGGGTGAGTCTTGCTTCCCCAGGGGGCGGGCGGGCTGGGAGCCGAGCAGGCCTTCCCGACCCCAGGCCTGGAAGGGACGGGAAATAGCTTAGTTCCCTGATTCCATTAACCCGCTGATTACTGACTCCCTCCCTCTCCCTCCCTTTTCTTCTCTCTCTCTTCCTTCTCCCTTCTCCCCTCTGCTTTCCCCTGGCACTCTCTTTCTAGAAGTGGCAGCTGCTGCTGCAGTGGGAGGAGGTAAGTTACCTGGATCGATCGCTTCTGACTCTGGACCATCACCTAGCCTGGTCCGGGGGTGCTGGGAGGCCGCAGAGATGACGCGCTGAGCTGGCTCTCACCCCCTCACCCTCCACTCCCGAAGCTGCCTGAGTGAACCATAGGGGAGAGCAGCATCAAGATACTCCAGGGAAAAGCTCCCTCCCAATCAGGACAGCTTCTCCTCTAGTCCTTATATAGAATAAGTGTAGAAGGAAGATTTCGTTTGAAAGAGGATTTGCAGCTAAACTCCACATGGCTCTTTTCACATTTATATTCAGACACACACACACACACACACACACACACACACACACACACACACACAAAACTAGAGACCCAATGAAGGGTGTTGACTTTCACCGCATCACACAGCAAGTTAGAGACAAACCAGGGCTATGCCTGGCCTTCCTATGACATCTTTGCCTCGCCTGGTTCCACACTCACCACCTCTTCTTCACCATGAGACCCCGAAGCTGCCATCTCCCTCTTGCTAAAGCTGACAGTCCCCAGAAACAGTCAAGGAATTCCTAAGGGGAGAGTTCCCTTCTCCTGAGCCCATCTCTGCACCCAGCCCACCCAGCTTCTCTCTCCCCACAGCCCTGGCAGTGGGGGCTGTGCCCATGGTGCTCAGTGCCATGGGCTTCACTGGGGCAGGAATCGCTGCGTCCTCCATAGCAGCCAATATGATGTCCGCAGCAGCCATGGCCAACGGGGGTGGGATTTCTGCGGGGAGCCTGGTGGCTATTCTGCAGTCAGTGGGTAAGTGTCCCGGACAGACCACCAGAACTGGGAAAAGACAGCCTGAGGCTGAGCCCAAGGGAGGCCTTCTCCTCTCCCTGCAGTTCTGTGACCTTCAGCTTCCTGGATCTTCAGTCTCTCCCTCACTGTCCCCTCTTCTGGCTCCTTCTGAGTGAGGTTTGGGGTGGGAGTAGAGGGGTGATGGGGTGCTGGGTAGGGAGAAGAGGAAGGGAACCCAGGCCAGAAGTGATGCCTGTGCTCTTTCACCTGGGTGACCTGGGCAAGGTCCCCTGCCGTCTCTGGGCCTCAGTGGCCTCCTGTGTAAAGTGAACACCCTGTAGCTCTTGGGGTCTGTCTGTGGATTACTTTCCGCCTCTCAGTTTCCGTGAATTCACCCCTGACTTGTCTTTTAGCTGCCTCTAGCAGTCTCTACCCAAAGCAGGGCCCCGGGGTTTTCAGGACGTGAAGGGGGGATCTGGGCGGGATTTCCAGGTCACTGCCTGTACCCTGTCCTCATTCATTCTTTGTCTCCTCCCCAGGGGCAGCTGGACTCTCCACATTATCCAACGTCTTCCTGGTCATTGGTGGGTCAGTGATGGGGGCCTGCTTGGGGGGAAGGAGATGAAGCAATAGAAAATGTACCCCAAGGTGAACCTCTAAAACCCCCACTAAGGTCAGAGAAACATGAGAGAAACATGAGGAATAAAGGTCACGTGCAGATGCGCCTCACTGTGTTTACTTCTTGTAGCCCTGTTTGGAGTTGTGAGCTGGAGGTTGCCCGTTCTCTCCACCTCCCAGTCTGCCTTGTCATGGAGGGGCAGAGGGAGGGCTTAATGTTGCACAGCATTGGTAAGCAGAAGGCTTTGGTTGGTCTCAGCCTTACAAGGAAGGGCCGTATGACCCAGGGCCATTCATGGGCCTTCTGTGGGCCTCAATTTCCCCCTTATTCAATGTTGGCACTGTCACAGGTTCCTGGTGGGAGCGGGTGAGGGGTAGCCAGGGCACTTCAGGAGCCACTGACCTCAGAGCCCTCTGTTCTTCTTCATTAATGACACTAGACACCCAGAATGAGCAAGACACAGCCTTCCCTTGCCCAACCTCAAAGTCTTGCCAGAGGCTGACAAGCAAGCCAGCAGAAAGAGACAGTGCCAAGGGTTACATTCGGGCTCTGGGCACTTTGAGGGGAGGAGGCTGTCAGAAATGGTCACCAAACTGTGTCTGGAAGATCGAAGGAGAGGCTGAGTTCATGCGTGAGGACCTGGAGCCCTGACCACACCCTCGCTGTGTTAGTCTGTTTTGGGTTACAATAAAGGAATACCTGAAACTGGGTAATTTATAAAGAAAAGAGGCCAGGCACTGTGGCTCACGCCTGTAATCCCAACACTTTGGGAGGCCGAGGCAGGCAGATCATGAAGTCAGGAGTTCGAGACCAGATGGGCCAACATAGTGAAACCCTATCTCTACTAAAAATACAAAACAATTAGCCAGGCGTGGTGGTGGTCCCAGCTACTCATGAGGCTGAGGCAGGAGAATCACTTGAACCCAGGAGGCGGAGGTTGCAGTGAGTAAAGATAGTGCCGGTGCGCTCCAGCCGGGGCGACCGTGTGAGACTCCATCAAAAAGAAAGAAAGAAAGAAAGAAAAGCAGCCTGTTTGACCCACAGTTCTGCAGACTGTACAAGAAGCATGGTTCCAGCATTTACTTCTGGTGAGAGCCTCGGGAAGCTTACAATTGCAGAAGGGATGAAGGAGGAGCAGGCATGTCACATGACGAGAGAGGGAGCAAGAGAGATGCCAGGCTAGTCTAAGCAGCTAGGTATCTTGTGAACAAATAGAATGAAAACTCACTCCTTACTGTGGGGAGGGCACCAAGTCATTCACGAGGAATCTGCCTCTATGACCCAAACACTAGGTTACACTTCCAATGCTGGGAATCACATTTTAACATGAGTCTTGGAGGAGACAAACATCCAAACTCTTATCAGTCACCTAAAGACTCAAGTCTTCGTTCATGTGACGGGTGCTAGAGTGGATGGGAGGGGTCCACATGGAGCCCCAGGAGACTATGATGACAGGAGAAACTGGGCACTTACCCGAACAAAAGTGACGCAGACCGTTATGTTCAGTGCAGTGATAGACTCCAACTAGCATGGGAGGAGTCAGAGAAGGTAGGGATCTGTTCTCATACCTGGGGAGCCTTCCTGGAAGAGGAGGCAAAAGGCCTGGACCTTGAAAGGTGAATGGAAGTCTGACAGAGGAGGAGGGAGGCAAAGGGAAAGATGTCCCAGGAAGAAGTAAGTCCCAGCTGCTCAGTGAGAGAACTGGAGAGGGATATGTAATTGGGTCTTTCCATGGCAGCGTGGGTGGAAGGCAGTAGCTCCGAAAAGCTATCAAGAGAAAGGGGACATCCAATGGAGACCATCAGGAGGCAGGAGGGAACTTCCAAGCATGGAGGTTTTACAGGGAGGCACCTCTGGTCTGGGTGACCCCCAGCTGTCCTTCTGCCCCCATGCATTTTAGGTCCCCTGTGCCAAGGCACGTGCATCCTCATGCTGCTCCTGAAACTCCCCTTTGCCCAGCTGGAGTGTAGTGGCACAATCATGGCTCACGTGCGGCCTCAACCTCTTGACTCAAGTGATTCTCCCACGTCCTGACTCCTGAGTAATTGAGGACAACAGGTGTGCACCACCGTGCCTGGCTAAATGTTTGTGGGGGTTTTTTGTGTGTAGTGATGGAGTTTCATCATGTTTGAGACCAGCCTGGGATCAAGGGATTCCCTCTGATCTCCCAAAGTGCAGAGATTGCAGGCATGAGCTACCTTGCCCGGCTGATAATCTCCTTTTTGCCATTTACATACCAAAATCACAGGAGTGATAGCTCAACACGTTCAGAAGCTTCACCAACACCCAGCGAGGAGGGGATTATGCCAGGGAGCTCATTGGGCCCCATTCTTAGAATTAGGTCTGTCACAGAGGCCAAGCTGAGGGGTCAGAGGTAAAGAATCAGATGAGAGCCATGCAGCCAAGGTGGGGTGAGGAGCTGGCTGCCAGAATGGAAAACAGGCCCTGGGAACTGGAAGGCCTCACCTTCATGAGGGGAGCAAGGGAGGAGGTCACAATCCACACCTAGAATAATGGATGCTCCGAGGTGACCTGCCTTGCATGACTGTTTACTGGGCTTCAGCCGGGATGCAGGCTCATCCATCCTCCCAAACCCAGGTCAGACCTGCTTTCCTTTCGGAAAGGCTCGGGATTTCTAGTTAATGCAGGGGGTTTTACCTTTCACTTCAGTGAAGGTCTTCCAATGTTCTAATGAATGCCGTAACATCGAGGGAATTATTTGGGGAATGTGTACATTTTGTGAGAGAAGTTTCACAGCTTTTTCCAGATTCCCCAAGGCATCAAAGAAAGGGGAAGGTGGGGGAAAAGAATCACATATTGAAAGAACACCCTGAGAAGGTTAATTCCTACGGCTGGATAGAAACCATGCTTCACTGACCCAATTAAGAGACATGGATGAGTTGTTGAATGTTTTTGAAATGCCTATAGCACTAGACTCACAGTTCTGCTTCCCTTTGGAAACCTAGGGTGAGGTGCACAGGGTTGTAGTGTCTGCGGTCACTGCACAGTTGAAAACCCTTCAGTGCCTCTCCAAAGTCCTCAGGATAAAATTCACACTCCCCTTCCTTGACATGCCTCTGGCCCCCCAAGGCATGGGCTGGCCCCTGTCATAGCACTTATCAGAGGTCAGTGCCCATGGCCATCTGCCTGTGGGTCCATCCCTTCAGCTCACCGTGAGGGCTGCCTAGGCAAAGACTGAGCTGTGCCCTTCTCTTCCTTGGGGTCCAGCCCTGTGCATGGACCACAGCATGTGCTCATAGACGGCGTGGAAAGGAGCAGCAAAACGACGTATGAACGAATTCCTGATACTCTGGGGCAGAACACATTGCAGCGATGAGAAGTGTCTACGAGGCCTTGTTCTGGTTAGGCAAGGACATTTCGGGACAAGGATCCTAAGGAAGAAAGGTCAGCGCCCTGACAAATTAAGGTTTCCTATTGGCTATTGGGTGAAAAGGGACGACTCGGGACATTCACGGTGAGATGAGTCAGTGGCATATCTGAGCCTAAGCCAACCACTCGGGAAACAGCCACTGGATTTGCAGAGTAGGGGCGGGGTACGTGTGCAAAGATGTGAGGCTCTGGCTTTGGGGTAAGTGGCTAAAAACAGGCTGTTCGAACCCCCCACCACCACCCCTCACTTCCCCCACCGCTTTCCCTGCTCTCGAGTCCTCACAGGAACTGAGCCAAACACAACCCTGGTTGGGATCTTGAAGGCCATTTAGTTCAACTCCCATTTAGAGAGGCGCAAACAGACGAGAGAGGTGACCTGCCAGGGTTACGTATGGAGTCAGTAGCAGGGTAGCGACAGCTTATCTTCAAATTTAGATTCATTTCGGTTCATCATATCCCAAGTTTTTGTCATGACAGTGTGGGGAAAGAGAATTGAGCCCTAATGAGCCCCTTCCCCACCCCAAGTATCACACTGGGCCTGCCCCACAGCCAGCGAGAGGCAAAGCTTCTGGGAAGAGTCGCAACAATCCATCTTTATTTCTTATTTTCCTCTGGGGGTGCAGAATTTGGTGTATTTCACCCAAGGTGTATTTGCTATAGTTGGCTCCTCACTGGGTCAGGACGGATGGGCACCTTCTCTCCTGGCACGGTTCTCTTCTCTGCAGGGCGAGGGGCAGGGAGCTAGAAGAAGCTCACAAAGCCAGCCGCCACGGCAGACCCAGTGGAGCCCAGGACTAACTTGGTCAACCTGGAGAGCCCAGTTGCTCCTGGGAAGGAGAGGGTGAACGCAGGGGGGCATGCCTGTCACGGAAGCTCTATGGGACAGGACTGTGGGGGAAGAGGCTCCAGTGACCCTCAGGAGGGCCGGAGGCCCAGAGACCCCACGCAGTCCCCTTGTGTTCCCAGCACCCTCGGGCGTTTGTTCTGGGCGAGGCTGCTGCAAGGCATGAACTCTTGTAAATTCCAGAGCTGGAAGCAGCCTCGCTCTTCAGGGAAGGAGGCTGCACCCCAGAGGGGAGGAGACGCCCAGATAACCCAGCAAGTCTGCTTCAGGATGAGTGTTCCTGAGCCCGCTGTCCCTGGCCAGGGCTCTTTCCCTCCCTCCCCGTCTCCCACAGGGCTGTTAGCTCATCAGAGAAATCCTGAGAGAATGGTAGAGAGAGACAGAGGAAGAGAGAGACGGAGGCCCATGGGGTTGAGCTCAGGACGGGGCCGTTGGAGGCTCTTGCTCTCCTCATCGCCCTCCCCAGCAAGCCCTGCCAGGATGCTTACCCAGTGACTGCAGAGTAGCCACCAGGCTGCTCGAGGCAACTCTGCCCCCGTCGGCGATGGCCGCTGCGGACATCACGTTGGCTGCTATGGAGTTCTCGGCCATTCCCACCCCAGTGAAGCCCCTGGCACCGAGCACCACAGGCACAGCCTGCACCGCCGTGGCTGCGGGGAAGAGGAGCTGGGTTGGTTCGCGGGCTCAAGAGAAGGAACATCCCCACCCCCACCCCCGACCGCCCAACATACACTGGGTCAGGCTTGGGGACCTCAGGGAATCTGGAGAAAGAGGTGAACTCTGAGCTTGGGAGAGACTATGGGCACGGCCAGTAGGCATGACTCAAGGGGAGCACAGGCAGGCGGGGGAAGTAGAGGAAACGCTAGTGGGGTCACTGGGCACAGGGCTCTGGGCCAAGCTCTGACAGGCAGCAGGACCCTCCTTGGAAAAGTCACTTGACCTCCCACTCAGTGTCTGCCTTAGCCAAATGCTGGAACAGGGGAGTGGTTGGCAAGTTTCTCATCTTTGCTTTCATCATTTGGGGAGCAAATCTCGTTAGAGGAGCAGATCTTGCCCTGGAGATTATGTAAGAGGCACATTCAGAGCAGCTCAAAGAGGCAGCTCGAGGCCTCCGAGGTGTTGCCACGGAGCACATCAGAAGCCACTAAAGCAAGGGGAGCTGAGCCCCACATCTCCTTCCTGTCTCCTGCGTTCAATCTCTATTGGTTCACCCTATGCAATCCTGGTGACAGTCCTGAATGGGCATTACCAACCCTTTCACTGGAGAGGAACGGGAGCTCAGAGGAGTTCAAAGACATGCCTACGGTCATTCAGTGAACACTCTGCCAAGGGGAAATGGCCCCTGCCGCTGCCACCATGCCCTGCCCACACACATTCCAGCTCCCAGTCTCCAGGTTCCCTGCTGCCAGCTTCCAGCACCGTTATTTCTAGTTCCTTGTTTCATATGTAGCCCCTCATCCCACCTCCTCCCCTGACCACCCACGCGAAGGGAGGCTTGGCACGGACAAGGTCGGCTGCTCCCCAAGTCCGCCTCCCTAGAGGCAGGAAGTTACTTGAGCCCCTTCCCCACAGACTCACCCCCACTCACAACTGTAGCAACCCTGGCTGGAAACCGAAAGAACAGTCTGTGAGTGGATTCACGTTGGCCTCCCCTCCACTGTCTGAGCCAGCTGCCCATCTAGTAGGAGGGGGCTGCCCCAGGTTGGGAGCCAGAAGAAGGGATGACCCCCTCTACCGCTCTGTTTCATTTCGGGAAGTGGAATTACTGAAGAAGGCGAAGATCACTGGGGGGTTTGACTCCGGTGCTGGTCCTGATTAATTTACGTGGTCCTTGACCTAGTTGGTTGGTTGGGTGATTGGGAGAAATCAGAGGGTCTCTTTTCTTCCTCCTAAGCCAGGTTTAGTTCAAATAAAAGGCAAAACAAAAATGAACAAAACCTTCTAGATGTGGCTAGGAAGGCATGCTACTGTGACGTCCGTTCGCGGTAACACAGGATCCTTGGCAATGGAATTTAGGGCTAGGTGGTTTGACCGGGACAGGGAGAAGTGAAGAGGATGGGTGTCATGCTTTCTGAGCAGGGCTGTTAGCTCATCTGAAGCAGGGTCAGTGTTTATCAGTGACGGATACCGTGACTTTCTCCTGTAGTCCAGAAAAACTCTTCAGATATTTAATAAGTCCTCATGGTAGAGAAAGATGGGCTTCGTTTTGCACTGCGTGGCTGAAGTTCAGGGCAAGCACTTGTGGAATGCTTGAATGCCACTTGAGAGCAATGCTTGAATGGAATGACTTGAAAGCTTCTGATTCTTCAAGGCCCATGCTATTTCTCCCTCCTCCAGGAAGCCTTCCCAGATTCTTCCAATCAGAACTCATCTTTGCTCCTCCATGACTGGAGCCACTCACAGCACTGCTATGCATGGTTTGCTCCCCCACATGGTGAGCCCCTGGGAAGCAGGCAGAGGCTTCCACTCTCCAGCAGCCAGAGGGGCCAAAACTGCAATTTGGAACCAGGAGTTCTAAAGATAGCCAGATGTGCAGGAAGTAAGCTCAGCCAGCTCCCAGGGAGAGGCCTTAGAGTGATGGTGGAGGAAGTAAGAGACACAGGTGTGAAGGCCAAACCCTGAGTGACCAGAAAGGCCACCTGGAGGGCTTATGAGCCCCAGGAACTCAGGAATCAATAACCAGGTTAGAAGGTTCAGTTTTACTGGCAGGCAGGAGAGGTGATGCCAAGTTGCCTGGCAGCCTGGAAAGCCTGGCCCTGACACACAAAAGCCCTCAGGAACTGGCTGCTGTGTGTCTCGGGGGCCTGCCTGTTAGGCTCAGCTGATGGGCATTGATAGGGCAAAGGAGCCTGGTCTCTGCCCTATGCACCCTTCAGAACATTCTCTGCCCTGAGACCTCCATGCAACCTTCCCCAACTTCTATTACTTTTTTTTTTTTGAGACAGTCTTGCTCTGTCGCCCAGGCTGGAGCGCAGTGGCACAATCTTGGGTCACTGCAACCTCTGCCTCCTGGATTCAAGTGATTCTCCTGCCTCAGTCTCCCAAGTAGCTGGGATTACAGGCATGTACCACCATGCCTGGCTAATTTTTGTATTTTTGGTAGAGACGAGGTGTCACCAGGTGTCACCTGGCCAACAGGCCAGGCTGGTCTCAAACTCCTGACCTCAAGTGATCCCCCACCCACCCACCTGCCTTGGCTTGCAGGTGTGAGGCACTGTGCCAGGCATATTAATACTTCTTGTCATTGTTCATTATTCTACCTTCTGTTCCAAGCCTGGAAGCAGCACCCCCACACGCTCCTGTCCTGCACAGAGCACTTGGACAACAGTAAATTGTGCCCTGTTGGTAAATAAGAGATAGCATTATCTTCTTATCTTCCTCTGGGGTTGTTACAAGAATTAAACAAATGGACAAACTCAAGTGCTAGACTTCATGACTAGGACATAAAAGTGCTGGCTCAAATTGAGCTGTTATTATTTTAATTTTACAAATTGCCTAATCTTAAACTGAGAAGTCATCTGCATTTCTGACAAACAGAAAGGACTGCTGGGTGTGGCCCAGGCCCTCACTTGCTCATGACACTTCTCTGAACTGAGTTGGGGGTACACAGAGTGGTGTGTGTTGCCAAGGGCCAGTTACCTCCAAGTCGCAAAAGAGGGTGCCAGTGAAGGACCCCAGCATGAAGGAGCTAGCCTCCAGGTGCCCCCAACAAGGGTCTGAGGATAGATGTGTTGGGGCTCAGGGCAGCCGAGGATGACAGGGTCAGCAAAGGGTGAGGGCACAGGACTCAAATAAAGGGTAGAGGTTGGGGCAGAGGTCAGAATAAGTCAGGGTAGGGGACATTCAAGCCTATGCCATTTGTGCTGGTGGAGTTGGAAGAATCCCTGGATGTCCACCCAGGAGACAGAAAGGTAAAGAGCAGTGGATACCTGCAGAGAAGCACTTGCCAGCAGGTAGAAGCTGGGATTAGATGCTCACTGAATAACATTGATGGATCTCAAGAATATGGTTCAGTGTGGGAAAGGGCAATAGAATGGGATCTATAACATGCTCTCCTGCATGTCAATTATAACACATGCAAACAAAACACAATCCCCGTTCTGCAAAAATACATATGAAAACCAGACACACATCAAATCTATTACAAAGGTTGACTTTGAGGGATGGGAATTGAGGGTGAAAAGGAGACAAATGAGAATAAATAAATAAAACCAGAAAGAGATCTTACTAGAAACCAGTGAAAAAAGTGGGCTGAAGAATTTTGTTAAAATCAGTACTCTGGATTGAGATCTCGTAGGGCGCAGGGGCCCTGTTGACAAGGGAAACTCCCAAAGGAGATGAATTCTGATGGTGAATTCAGGAGAAGGAAGAGCTGAAGAAGTGGGACTCAGTGATAGATAGACAGTTTTGGGCTAGGACAGGAGGAGGTCTGGGCCGGCAGGGGTGGGGGAGGGACCTGCGGGACACCCAGGGCCTAGGCCTGCCCCTGGCCCCTTCCCAGATTGAAAGCCAGGGCGGACACCTGCAGTGGGAGGACAGGGCAGGGCAGCAAGGCTGCAGGTGTTCCCCTCATTTTCTCTCCCATGGTTCCCTGGACAGGGACCGCCACCTGCCACAGTCGTCTCCTCGTCCCCAGCAGCAGCCCCTCCCGGGAACACTCACCCACAGGCAAAGCTACGGCACAGCCAGAGGCCACCCGGGCCACACCAGTCACTGCTCGGGTGAATTCCATGGCCTAGAGAGTAAGTTCCTCAACTTCAGCCAAAGGGATGGAGCTCTAAGGACATGATGGGCACACAACCTGGCTTGCCTCCCACTGTCCTGAAAGACATGAGAGGCTCCAGGGGGCTAGGGAGGCTGCTGTAAGCTGTGGGGACAGCAGGCCTGGAAAGGAACCTGGGGGTGAGGGAAGGAGGGATGTTGGGGAGTTGGGGCTACCAAAGGACGTGTGTTAGCCCAGGGCCCTGAGGGATGTTATTTCCCCTGGGATAGCAGGGGGGTGCTGGTTTCTTCCTCCTGAAAGTCCCAGTGCCAACTTCTTAGACAGTTCTGGGACTTCTTATATCTCCATGGAGCAATTGAAAAAACACCAAAATTAGGAAATCAGAACCAATCACATTTTAAGGCGTATATAGCAGGTAAGGTTAACTGTTCTTCTGTAATCTCCTCACTAACATGAAAAAGATAGGACACCCCCCAACCCATGTTACAGATGAGGAAACACGGTCTGGCTCAGTGATTTGCTCCAGGTCAGAGGCTTCCCATAGCAAAGCAACACCCCATCTCTATACACACACACACACACACACACACACACACACACACACACACACACACACACGACAAATACTATATAATTCCACCAATCAGCAGTACCCAGAGTAGTGAAATTCATAAAGACAGAATGTAGAATTCCCAGGGCAGGGGGAGCGGGTAGAGCAGATCTGTTTAATAGGGACGGAGATTCATTTTCACAAGATGAAAAACTTCTGGAGATGTATCACAACAACGTGAGTATGTATCTAACACTGCTGAACTGTACTTAAAAAATGGTGGCTGGGCAAGGTGGCTCACACCTGTAATCCCAGCACTTCAGGAGGCCGAGGCGGGTGGATCACGTGAGGTCAAGAGTTGGAGACCAGCCTGACCAACATGGTGAAACCCCTGTCTCTACCAAAGATACAAAAAAATTAGCCAGGCATGGTGGCAGACACCTGTAATTCCAGCTACTCAAGAGGCCAAAGCAGGAGAATCGCTTGAACCCAGGAGGCAGAGGTTGCAGAGAACTGAGACTACACCACTGCACTCCAGCCTGGATGACAGAGTGACATTCCATCTCAAGAAAACATAGGTCAAGGTGGTAAATTTTATGAGTTTTTGTCACAATATAAAAGGGAGGGGGGTCCATGGAAAGAAACGTATGGAATTCGCAGCAGCACTTTATTTCTGAGAGTGGGACAGGGCAGAATGAGGGGCAAGGATGCTCAGCAGAAAGGGATTTAGCCTTACCTGCAGGAATTTAGGTTTTCAAGAGTAGAAGGTACTTCAAGATTTCTTAAGTAATTTAAATGAAATAAAAAGCTAATTTTCATTAGAAAATAATATAATCCGATGCTGTAAAGTTAAAACATGTTGTCTTTTCTGGCAATTCCTTTCTGGTATAAAGAGTTTGTCTTTCTAAGTGAGTTCTCTTCTGATTTCATGTTTGGTTTTCACATACATCAGTAAACTGATATGACTCTTTTACATTCCCCCCCACCACCACTTTTTTTCTCAATATCTTTCAAAAGGAAAGATGAATATACCAACATTGGGCATGGGATGATTAGTTAAAAGCCATTAGGGCAATTGCCACCGATTCTGAGGGACTTTAGTCTCCAAAGAACAAAGTCCCCCGTATAAGAATAAACTGAGCACAAATGGCAGAGTTTTCACAAGAACCTACCAGTCTCAGGAAAACTTCCATGCAACAGGAGAATCATGGTTGCCAGTCAGACAAGGAGGGCAAAGCCCTTCCACCAAGTAAAAGAAGTATCCCTGTGTCAGTCATGATTTTAAAACAAACACTTTGCCCAAACCCTTAAAATTCATCAACTGCTTATAAGATTTCCTTTTGCTCTCAAGAAGTAATAAGAAATGGAATGGGATTCCCAAATTCTAAGGCATACCAGAACAACCTTCCTTTGGGGACTCTAGCTGGTTATAGAGTCAAACATTGTGGTGGGGAGCGACAGGGAAGGTGGCGGATAGGAGACGAAGCTAATGTGCAGCTCCCACTTGAACAGACAGACCAGTGTGTGGAGACTCACACCACAAACTTCCAAGAACCCCTACAAGATCATAGGAAAAAACAGAAGGAATTTACAGATCTTTTGAAAGAAGCCGCACAGTCACTGCACATTCTGCAAGACAAGCAAAAAACTGAGTCCCCAAAGTGTGAGGGGGTCACCTTCCTCCAAACACACGTCCTCACTGGGGAACTGGCAAATCCAGATCACGGGAGGATTTAACCCTACTTAGAGCTGGAACGGCTTTAGGGAGCTGTGCAAGACATCAAAGTGAAAGCAACAGCAGGAAGAGCTCTGTAGACATTCCTGGTCTCCAGCTTGAGCCCAGGAAAGCTATCCCTGACTCTATCTCACAGGGGCGCTCAAGGAACCCAGCAGAATCAGGGAGGGGTCACAGGGTATAAGAAGCTTCCAACTGAATTCTGCAATAATTTCAGCTGGGCACAGACTTTCTAGAGCAGAGTCCAGGAGATGAATGGAACTGCGGCAGACAAGAGGGCAGGAGCCACAGCTGACACTGTAGGCAGACAGGGAGGGGAGAAACCTGAAAGCCGAGCTTGCTTGCTCAGCAGGGTAGTTTATGGCCTGGGACTAGGTCTAATCTCTGCACACACAAGATGCCTGGATCTAAACTTGGTACTATTAGTGGGGCACTGCAGGAGCGAAGACCAGCCTCTCCAATGCATGGGAGGTTGTTGAGGCCTTTTGCTTACCAGCTCTCCCCACTTACCTGGTGAACAATACTGCTAGGAAGAGGCAGCCACACTCCCCTCTGGAACATAAACCCACTGGCCTGAGAACCAGCCCCACATACCCCACAGTGGTCACAGCAAGTCCCACTCAAGGAGACTCTGAGCCCATACTCACCTAACCCTGCTCTCTCACCTGATGGTATTCCTCTATCTGCTGTTGTAGCTGAACACACAAGATATATACCCTTGGTAGCTTTATGGCTGCACCCACCACCTTAGTAATGAGAATACCTCCCCTGGCCAACGCACAGAAAGCTTACATGCCACTGCTAATACTGTGGCTGGTCCTTTCTTGCAAGTGCCAACTCCTGGTTGGAGGCCAGCCAGCTCAGGCCATTACAGCAACTCATGACAGAACAACCCTGCTCCCAGGAAGGAGAAAATGACAGTTAATACCACTGCCTGCAACATCCTGGCTAACCGGAAGCCCTGTGTCTGTCCACTTGACACCATCACTGCTAGCATAACCAGCATTCGAGAAAGCCAGCACACCCAACCTACCTACAACCAAGAACTCTCACAGAGTCTATCTACTTCACTCCCCTGCCACCTCCACCACAGCAGGTGCGGATATCCATGGCTGGGAGACCTGAAGATGGACCACATCACAGGACTCTTGGTAGACACTCCCCAGTACCAGCTCAGAGCCTGGTGGCCCCACTGGGTGGATAGACCCAGAAGAGCAATAACAATCAGCTGTAAGTAGGGGTCTCAGAAAGCCCCATCCCTAGGGAAATGGGGAGAGTACATTAAGGGATCACCTCATGGGACAAAAGAATCCGAACAGCAGGGCTTGAGTTGCGGATCTTTCCATTGGTGTAGCTTCTCGCCGCAGAGACACAATTGCAAGTGCTAGGTGCAGGAGTGAAAGTCTGCACCTATATCCCAACAGGCTGGAGTTTGAGACCAGCCTGGCTAACATGGTGAAACCCCATCTCTAAAAACAAAAATACAAAAATTAGCTGGGCGTGGTGGCACAGGCCGTAATTCCTAGCTACTTAAGGGGCTGAGGTAGAAGGATCAGGAGCTTGCAAGATGATTTCAATTTGAAATTTTGCTGATTCTTCCTAATGTTTTGTTTTCCATATAGAAGGAAATCTTTTTAAAGCTATCTGCAGCTCACAACAAGTTAATGCGGGGGTTGCATGGCAACATATTCAAGCTTACGTATAAGGCATTTGAGTTTGAGGCATGGAAAAATACTGAGGCATTGCATGTATGTTGTTTGTGCAGGAGACTCTAGCTCCTTGACCCTGAAAACAGGGGCAGGAACGAAAAATGTGATAAGGATCGCTGAAAACAGCCTCCCGAGAATGTGGTCTGAATGCTTTTAGAGACAGTCAACAAGGCCATACGTGACTCATGACCCCACTGCACATCGCCCCCTGGTGGATGTTTTTTGACTGAATTGTAGTTCAGCAAGCTCTCTCAAGTATTCGGTGGGGCACTGTCTCAGAAGAGCTGCTCCCCACCCCACTCGGCTGGAATCGTCTGAGTACTTCATTAACTGCAGCTACAAGCTGCAGGTAAAATACGCTTTTGTTAACAAAATGGAAACATTTATTTTCCCCCCACCTGATCCCTCCAAAATTTGGAAACTATATATGAGTGTTCTCATTTTTATGGTAAATATTTGCATAAGCTTAGTAAGAATCTGCCCTCTTTATAACAGGATACAACTGAAAATGTTGTTATATTACTAAAATTTTGACTAGGATGTCATATTGAAGATCGTCTATAGGTATTGCTATAGAGTCTAAAATCTGTCTTAGTTGGGTTTCCTAGCCTAAAGAGGTTTTCAAATCTGAGAGCCCTATGTGGTCAATTACTATTCTTCCTGCACTTAAGCAAATAGTCAGGCTAAGTCTGATGAGGCTAAAGGCTAAACTTAGTGAATAAACATATTGGTCTTATTTTTATTACCTTTGGTAAAAATGGAGGTGTTAAAAAATTATGTTTCAGAAAAAAAAAATCTGTAGTAATCCTGTTATTAGACTGTAACCTTGTTCAATGTTTTTGAGTTTTTATTCTTTACCTACAATGTGGACTGAATCCTGAATTATTCTATAGTTTCCTCTGAGATCCAGATGTAAGTCTCACCTGGTTCCCCGTAGTCATTTGATTTGTTTAATTGGTTATCTTCAGGGCTTGGGTTCATGATTCAAAACTGTTATGCATACTGGAGTCATCAT